TGCCACAAAGTGGGGGTGACAAAGTGCGACTCTGTCTCTAAGAAAAAATAAATAAGTAAATAAAAATATTTAACAGCTAAAACGCCCCCTACCGAGGGCGACAAAGTGAGACTCTGTCTTTAAAAAAATAAATAAATAAAAAGAAAAGGATTAACCCAGATCCGATAAGGGGGATTGACTTTGGACAGTCCAAAAGTGATCATACTCAGATCATGGCTGGTTGGACCAGGTTGGCCATCTGGAGGCAACATTAGCGTCATTCAGATGGGAAGTGTTAGCACGCTGTTGTCCTCTTTTATGAAAACAGTACTATCTTCAAATGACTTGAAGCTCGCCGCTCTGTTACAATGAGTCATCCACTTGAAAAATGTGTTCCTTCAGGGTGGGAGGAGAGTTTGGAATTCATAATTCATTTGCCACAACGTTCATTTATTAAAGCAAAGACGTACCCTTTTGCCCTCTCTCCTTTCCAGGGCGTGCTGACTTTCCCTGTGCTTTTATCGGAGATTATGAATGTATGTACACACATATAAATAAGAAACCAGAAGTGCTGTGTATGTTAGTAGAGAAAGCACTTGGTGTGTTCACGTGTAGAGTGGAGCCTGTTCCCCTGTATATCATTATAGCATGGAGTGTGATTTTAAAGCATAGAGAGTATGAGGTGTGTAGTTTTTCTGCCTCCCTATTTATGCTTCTAAGCGAGACTTTTACCGGATTCACATTTGGAAATATGACTAAACAGGGCAGGGAATAAAGCTCACAGAGATCTCTGAATTAATTGAATTATTCACCCTAACCCAGCCCCTGGTGGGGGAAAGAGGGTGTAATCTCTTCATCCATCTCTGCGCCCTGCCCCTCTCACCACGATTCTATTACACCCCTGCATCCGTTAAGCCCGAGTGGAAAACACCAATTTCAACAAAAAAGGCGATTTTTACAGAAGGGGAGGAGAGGCAAGGCAAAACATTTTTTTTTTTTTAAATAAAAAATGACTTTTCCTCAAAGCTCACAACAGTAGCAGAAGGCTTTAAGAACATAAACATAACCAATCTGTCTATTCCAGGGGATAAAGGCTATGTTTCTTAAACATAAAAGAACAAAATTTTGAAGTCGCAAGCAAGTTGGAGGCATTTGCATAATGGATTCTATTTACATACATTACCCTGCTTGTGCCACTCATCTGATAAGACTTGGCCAAGGTGGAGAGCAGAAGTTGAAGTACAGAGAACGGGGGGTGGGGGTGG